CTCATTAATTTAAGCACTCACTCGCAAGCTCGCTCGTGCCTAAATTAAATTCGTGTATAAAATGGCGTTTATCAAATTTGATACATAATATACTATTATGTGTGTAGTATTATGTATAGAATTTTAGATGATAGGTAGATAGGTATTTGAAACATATATTATATTATTTTTTCAGGTTAAGTCTTAGAAAAAAAGTGTTAGGATAATACACTCTTTACCTTTTGAAATAAACATAGTCATTATATCCTAACCTTTATCAAAAGTCGTGCAAAAGTTAAAAAAAAATAGACAATATTTGAAACAATTATTGCTTAACATAAATTTAATCCAAAAGTAAATATTGTATCGCCAAAAATTATAACATTTGTATCCAAAAATTCTTATTCTTAAATCAAGCATTTGAGTTTGCTTGCATTTAAAATAATATGATAGTATTTCTTGAAATAAAAATAAGTTTACCCTTGCACCTAACATTGAAATTATATCCATATAAGTATAGGTTAGTTCTTGCATTCAACACCCTAACTTAGGGTGTTGAATGCAAGAACTAACCTATACTTATATGGATATAATTTCAATGTTAGGTGTTAGGGTCCCTAAGTATTAATTTAAATTACAAATAAGAATAAATCAATCTATAATTTTAAAACAATTTTGTCCAGCACTTTTAGGTTTTTAAGTTGTTCTGAATATTTTAATTCCTTGAAAACCATTTTATAGGTCATTGTAGCATTGAGACACATTTCAGAAACCTCGTCAATTATGTTATCACTTAAACTAGATAAAAAAGAAGTGGGATGCACATTATCTAAATTCCAATTAAACAAAAAAATGTAAGCCATGGCAGCTGATAAGCGGAAATGTTAATCATTGAATCTAATACGTTGGTTAGTTCAGTGTTTTTGATTTTTAACAGATGACACACTGGTAATTTACACTTAAATTAAATCATTAGCTCGAACTGTTTCCGAATGTTAATTTGAACAGGTAATTAACTTTTTAATTATCGGCAGTAGTTTACAATGTAAATTGCTTCTGAGGCAATCATGTGCACATAATTTTCCTGTCATGGCGTGTTGGAAAAGAAGCCTGTCGTTGCTTTAATAATTTTAGCTAAAAAATTACACCAAATTGCTATTACTATATTTTAATTATAATTACTTCAACAAGTCTAAATCAAAATTGATACTTTTTTCCCTGTATTGTTTGTTCTGAACAAAGAGTGTCATTTGGGCTGTCAAAAATATATTATATATCAGGGCTTCCTTGGATAAATTAAAATCTGGAACGTAAACGAGGGAAGAAGTGGGAAGGGGGGGGCAGATCATGTATTTTAGATCTTTCTAGTCTGCGAAACAAAGCAATCCCATCAAGCGATAGGATCGCGCATTATGAAGTATTATTAGCGCATTACGGCTATTGGAGAGCAATTCAATTATTGGAATAGCGCCGTTGCGGCGACTCGGCGCACCGAGATCAAATATCGCAGATTTTCTTCCGCTCAAGCACTACGTCTCGGCCAACCGTTGACTTAGCGAATTTAATCAAAAACAAGGTCCCGCCACCTACGAGTTGAAATGCAATCTGCTTAATTCTTCGGTCAGTCGCAATCGATATGCCATAAGATTACCGGACGACCAATTGATAAGATTGGGATTAATTATTTTAAATTAAGCTTCAAGAGGAATAAATACATTAAATTTTATCAAATGCTCTCTCTTCCCTACTCTAAGTCCAACAAATTCAAAACTATTAAAAAAACATTTTTAACCACATAGGTATAATTTACCTACGTACGGCCCTGTTTGTATCGGCATCTAGAATTACAAAATGTGAGTTTTTTGATAAAATGAAGGAAGCTCAAATAATCAACACATAAATGCGTCAAGGAACTGTTATCTTTTGTTAAAAATAATAAACAAAATTTATAATTAAATAAGTTCAAAATATAAAAAACTGTTGATACTATAACTTGTGAACGGTGAAAAAGTAAAAAAAAATATTTTGTAGGAAATTTAGTCGTCTACAAAAAAGGCCTTATAAGTCGAATCGGTCGAATCTCTAAAATTATTATTTTTTCTACTCCCACCTTTAAAACGCCCTTTATCGTACATGTTTCCATGACACTAAGTGACCTTTTAAATACACATTGACAAGTTGTGGCTTTATGGCGCTTTAGTCACGGGCTGAAGTTAGCAACAGGTTTTTAGTCACGGGCTGAAGTTAGTTTTAAGTTAGTTGACAGTTGTCAAATGTCATACAATCGTTAAAATAATGTGCCTTTCTTGTAAAATAATACTAAATGTGAAAATTATTTTATTATATCAATACAAAAATAGAAAAGTATTAAATAGTTTCTCAACGCCAATATTTGAAAAGTTTATATGAACATTGTACTGACCTTTTAATTTCGCCGGCAGTAAACTATATCTTAAATTCGGACACGGACTCCACTGCAAAGTGCTCATAAAACATTTTCTTTACTTTCACTGTGAAAAACTGTCAATTTTCAAGAAATACATTTCGATTTATAACCTTTATAATCTGTGTTTATAAAATAAAAAAAATTGACATTTGACGGTGACACACAGATTCCCCTATTGTTTCATAGATGGCGCTCTATACAAATTTTTGATTTAAATCATTTTAAGATAATAATAAGTATTTGTCGTAGAAAAAGTATAGTATGCACCTCGTTTATAAACTTTATCAAACTTGATACATAATATACTATTAAGAGTTATAAACCCAAAGCCATCACAAGATAATTAAATTTTGTTACTGTAATTCTTATAATAGATATGGCTAGTAAATATATACTAATTAGTGATATATTGAATAAATTAATCCTAGTAAACAACAATTATGTTTTTTAATTAAAAGTACAGTATTTAGCAAGTACTTAGTTATAAAATTATTTACATTTCATAATCGTTAAAAGGTTTATTACAATTTTAATTAAAAATTCCATTAAAACTAATAAAAATTAATTGTGGAAATATTTTAATTAAAAAAATAAATCAATATTAAAATACCCATAAAACGACACACAAAACTCATTCAAATTAATTACTTAAATTAAAAGGTGCGTCTTGTAAAAAATAACCAATCAACATTTTGTAAGTAAAATTGTCATTTTTTGAACATTCAAATTTACCAATTTTAGCTAAAAATATTTTATTTTATAGAACCCATATAAATTTATAACGATTCATTAGACAATGTTTTACCTAAATAAATTTTCTAGTGGTATACATTGAGAGAGGCAAGTGGTGGGTGAAATAAGATGGCAGAGAAAGAAGAGGGCAAAGTAGTAGCAGCAAAAGCAAAGATTCCTCAAACAATTAAAAGAATCGATTTCGATTTTCCCATTATAATTGAGTTTTCTTCTTTTGTTTCGCAAAGCTGTAAATTGATTCGATATATAAGTAATTTCACGGTCGAACGGCGCCTACCGTACAAAAACAATCGAAAAACAATATTGGAAAATAATATCCCGAGTCGATTGCACTCCAGATATTACAAATATTTAGTTATATTTCTTTGCAAATTGCCTTATAAAGTGTTCAGTTTTAGATAAAAACTCCGGATTTCCAGGAATCCACTTTATGGATTATTTGCTACTACTACTGCTTCTGATGCTACTATACAGCTTCCACTTTATCTTTGCAACATTCAATTAAATTTTACACAGACCTATGTATATACAAAAACTACTTTTTATTATTTTTTTCCTTAATCTATGTTTACTTTTCATTAATCAAAATATTAATGTAATATTATTTTTAAGATTTTTTTTTATTAATGAGAAATTGTGTTATCTTTAAATTAAAATTAAAACTAACTTAAGTAAGTTTATGTTAATTTTTCATGACGTAGTTCAGATAAAGGCGCAAAAATAAAAACTAAAAATACTAATATTTTAATTAAAAATATAGTATTCATAGGCATATAAAATATATTACGGTCGTGCAAAAAATGGGGTTCATGAAAAAAATATCTATAAACCTCCTAAACTTTCCTGTATGATAGGATAAGATTAGTATAATAAAATAAGGTTTAGAAAAAATCAACAAATAATGATTTTTTTTATTTTTATTACGATTTTTCAAAATTAGAAGAATTTTTTTAATAAAATGTGAGTACACTAGTACAATAGTACTATTAAAAAAATCCTAAAAATAACTTGAACAAATAAACCATCATCCGCAACTGTCATAGATATATATTTTTTAATCTCTTTGTTATTTTATTTAACAAATTAAGCAGTTATGCTTATGACTTTATTTAAATAGTGTCAAGATATTATTGCGCTTTAGTTTTAGATATTTTAAGTGTTTTTTCAGGTTTTAGAAACTTTTTTTTAAGCTGATTTATAAATAAATCATTGATAAAAATAAAAAAGGCCACTGACATAAATTGTAGAAGACAATACCTCCAATATTTTTTGGTTTACAGTATTTTTTTATCTTTTATAAACCCTTTATATCCTTTCTAACTATATAAAAAAACATGGAATACCTTTGTTGTAGAGAGTCTAAAGTCAAAAAAGAGTAATGGTAGATTTTTGAATCACCCTAATACCTATATACATAGGTACCTACAGGTATTTTGTAAATTTTTGTAAATTTTATTGCCCTTAACCATTAAGTACTTAGATGTTTTATACATTTTTGACTTTTTAATATTTTATTAAAAAATTTCAAGACTATAGGAAAGTAAATATTATATACCTATGTAGCGAAATTTTGCATTAGCAATTTTATAATATCTATTATATGGTTCATTAAATGTTAATTAACCAATTTACAAAACACTTTTTGACGTGAAAAACAGTTTTTGTACTTTGACAGCGCGCCAACTCAAAACACGTGGTATAAACAAAACATTGACATTTACCTAAATACGATTTTTGTTGTTTTTATTTAGTTCTTAGTTTTATTAATAAAATTATTTTGTTTAAGTTGTTTACGTAGGTATATGGTTCGAAAAGTACTTACAGCTTTAATTTTGAAGTCGTCGTTGACACCGATGCAGAATCAAGCAGCCACAAACCAAACCAACCAATAACACTGTCCTATATCTTAAAACAAACACGAAACGCACAATGAAACGGATATAACCTCAAAACTTCGCACTTGTTCAATGAAAATCTGCGTGTGCTCAGGTGGTAGCGGACCAATCGGCGGGTTCTACTCGCGAACAGCTCTCGACTCGTTGTGATCGGATCGCGGTGCGCTTTGAGAGCTTCGAAAGCTTTTGACGGACGCGTTGCGCGCGGTAAGCTCTGCCTAAGTGGCCGGTGCCGCGTGGTGGGGGGCCGGTGAGTAAGAGCGAGCAAGAGGGCGCACTGGTAGAGATGGGAGCGCGCGAAGACGAAGTCTGTCTCACTGTCTGTCGGACGTGTCATGTCAGATATTTAGTTGATTGTGAAATAAGATTCGATAGGGTTTATTGAATGTGTGTTGAGGGTGGAATTTTTATTTATTTTATTGGTTGGTTATCGAGAATGTGATTTTTTTATATACCTACAAAGAATTGGAAATTATGTTGATCAATTGAGGCGTTTCTCGGAAAAACATCATTAGTCCAATATCGTCAAAATTTAGATATTAGCACCAACTGTTTCCTAACCTCCATATATACGTATACAAATAAGTGTTTCTCGTAAAAATGTCATAGGTTCCATAATAATTAAATATGAAATTTAGCTTGTTCTTCTAAAAACATCACAAGTCCACTCCGTTTCGTCTAAGAATGGCACATGTGCATAACATGCCAATTAAGAAAACAAAATTGGACACTCTAGAAAAGGTTCTACCTCTTTTACATGACAACAGCAATAGAAAATTTTATGATAACTTGATAAAATACCAGAAGACCCTATTTTTTGTGTTTTTTTTCATATTCGTTTAAAAAAAAACATGAGGAATTCTGGACAAAGTATCTTACATTTTTTTACATGTAGTAAATAGGTCAATAAAGTACTTTGGTCAAAAATGGGAATGTCGGAGAGTTTTTTTCATTTTCCCAAATATGTTTATTTTGGACTAATGATGTTTTTCCGAGAAACGCGTCAATTTAATACATTTTTAAAAATTAGGTACCTACAGTTTATTTTTTGCCAGTTTATTATTTTTAGTATTTAAAAAATGGTAATTCTGCTGAAGACCTTAATTAAATACTCTGACACTGTCAAATTGACAGTAATATTTATTATTGACTTAGTCAATTTGACTATTTCCCTCGTCTTAATTTCCACCAAATACCATTCGGGCATCTAATTTTTCCTGTGAAAAAAATCGAAAAAACACAATGCTAAGTAATATTTTTTAACAAAATGCATTCGTGCAGGTGCAAAAATCCTCCTCTTCGACTCGGATTTTTGTTGCCACCAGCACTCATGCTTTTTGTTAAAATATTACTTAGCAACGTGTTTTTTCGATTCTTTTCGGAAAAATTAAATGCCCTTATGATATTACTTACGATTAAATTTTAGCCTCCATATTGGATTTTTGTTTACGATTTTATGGTGTTATTTACAAGTTTTAACAAACATTTTTTAAAAAACAATACGTTTTTTATTTGATTTTTCTTTTTGGAAAATAGTTTTATGCAAAATAATTAAAAATAAAACCCCTCGACCGCTACGCGGTCTCGTGATTTTATTAAATTATTTTGCATTCAACATTTTCCAACAAAAACCAAACAAAAAACTACTGAGCCTAGTTTAACCGATTAAATTCATAGTTCTCGTGATATAATATATGATTAAAAAAAGGCTTTTAGTAATAATTTGGTGCTTTTTTCTGAATAAACATTTCCCTTACTTTATTTGATTTGTGTTCCTCCAGACGCAAAACTAGTCGGATTTATAATGCAAAAATATCGCGGAAAACTTTAATAATACATTTTATTTGAAACTTTTCACTGTAAAATGAAAATAGGTAGGTAAAACATAAATTGAGATAAAAACGTCAGTTGGGAACGGGACACAGAATAGCGAATAAAGTGAAGTGGTTTAAATTCATACAAAAAAAAATAAAAAAGACAATGGAAATTGTTGTTGGTCGAGAGTTAAAACAATAAACACATATCGCTCATCCGGAAGAAAACGGTCACAACTCAAAAAAGTTAAATTTTCAGGAGAAGCAATTTAAAGTTGCAAATAATTTAATTTATCGAACTGTTGATGTTTATGGATTTTTTTGTAAAAAAGTAATATTTATTTTAAAACATGGCTTTTTTAAAAGTACTTTGTTTTAATCTGAATTACTTTAAATTTTTTGTTTGTTAATGAGAAAAACAAATCCTTTCAATGAAAGAGATGTGTCAGTTTTCTACTAAATTTGATGCAAATTTTGTTTCCAAATTCATTAAATAAATCCCTCAAACATTGTATTAAACATTTTATTTATTGAAAATATGAACAGTTTAAAAAAAGAACGTACCTAAACATTGAGTTATCAAAACGGAATATAATAATTTACCTACTATAATTCGGTAGATTGCTAGAAAGGAACATTGTAACAAAAAAGGACACAAATAAAAATATGACCGTTATCAATTGAAAGTAAAACAAAAATCACTGTTATAACCCGAGATGTGACGTTTTTCCCGAAATAAATCGTTTGTCTCGCTTTGACGTATGAATAAAGACTGAAAAGTGTCGCTTTAGTTCTGTGAGGTTATGCATTTGCGCGCTAGGGATGAAGTGACACAAGTTCCATCTCTCGGGTAATACTAAAAGTTTAGATGAGACATTTTTCTACAACATAGAATATGATGTTTGGAATTAATTTCAATTAAAAACTCAATTTTTGGATTTTCTGAGTTGTGACGGTTTTCCTCCGGATGAGCGATATTAGGTTTAATTATTTTATGAACGTCGCATGCAATAAAAGTTGCCTACGCCTTGTCAAAAAGGGGAGAGAAATTCATAATAGTCATATGTTTTTTATTTAGGATTTAATTTAATTTATTTTTCATAATTTTGTTTGCAATGATTTTTTCCACCTTTAAATCGTACATGTTTCCATGACGCTAGTGATCTTTAAACACACATTGACAAGCTGCGGGCTGAAGTTAGCTTTAAGTTAGTTGACAGTTATCAAATGTCATACAACCATAAAAATAAAGTGCCCTTCTCGTGTAATAATAGTAAATGTGGACGATATTTTATTACATAAGTGTAGATGTGGATTTAAATGTTTGGAATTTGCTATTTCACGTTTTCAATCAGCTCCGTGCACAAAGCGAGCCATTACAATAGAAATCAGGCCAGTTTACACTGTGAACGGGTGCACAATAGTGCTGAAATTCTTTCTAAATTAAATCAAATTCAACTCCTATTCACACCGTAAAAGGGGGATGAAAAATTGCTTTTTTCATACGGATATATTAGTGTTAATTTGCTCTATTTTTAAACCTGAATGCTTAATTCCACTTTTTGTATGCAATCGAAAATCCTTCATTTATATTTTTATTCGCAATTACCTAAATGATTTTTAATTAAAAGGATATCAAAGTGGTTTTTATTATTTAATTAATTATTTAATTAACTTAATTAAAAATAAATCGAAATAAAATGTCAATATTGAATTAGGTAAATCAATTTTAAAATTGTGTACCGAGGTATTAAATTATATTCCCCCATTACATATGTCAACAATTCGATTGAAAGATTATTAATTTCAATCTAATTTCCATTATCCAAATTGAATGTTTCTGTTTATTTTTTAACATCAATTAGTGTGTTATAATCTAATGAAAATATATTATATTATCAATTTATCAATATATTTGCTATAGAGTAGATTAGAGTGATCCAAAAAATCTACTATTTTTTTTTCCTTCTGATATCGAAACATTGGTTTTTGGCCACCTTTAAAAAGGCCTATGGGGCATTCCACGTTACTCGGTAATTTTTGTCCCGTCCGTCACAATTAAAAATTGTGGTATGAGGTAGGTATGTAGGTATGAGCACTTAATCGTTGAGTAAATCAAAGATATTAATCAATGTCTTAATATTAAAATCGCAATCCATGAAAAAAAAATCTCACTAACAAATGAATATACTTAATCCCATACAAATTTTGATAGTATATTCTTAAATTTTTCTTCAGTTTTTTCGATAAAGGTTATGATATCTGGCTCTAAATATAACAGGGTTTTTTAAGCTTTTCCCCTGAATAATTTTTTGATATAAAAGTTGAACTTTAGTTGCGATTATCTTTAAAACGCTTAAATTTATCGAAAAAACTAGAGGCAGTTAATTTACAACAGAAAAATCTTCTACTCATTAAAAAACCCCATGTACACAATTTTTTTCAAAGCCTAATGTAAAAAAGGAAAATAAAAAGGACTTGATTTTAAAAATGTCTGTGATTCATTCAGTAAAGTTTACTCGGGAAACTGGCAACAATGGCAATAAATTGAAGGCATTTACTTTATAACAATACATTAAAAGAAACATTTATTCCACAAAAACAAGTACCGAGGTAGTAAAGATTGATCCATTGAAATGCAAATAGAAAAATTAGGCATACTCGAACGCCTTTGAATGCCATGTGATGTGGCTTTGATTCGATTAAAAACTAATTCTATTATTGTCTAGAACGGCAGCAAAAAGCGGGCTAACACCAGTCTACGCACACTGCATGCACTCATTGACCGAGTGCGTACACGCACTTTACACAGGGACGTATCAAGTTTTACTACAAAGTCGTGGTTGGGTGAATAACAAAATATTTGTCTCATATCAATTGTATTTATATTATCGCACATGTTTCCACGACACTTCCAAATACACATTGACAAGTTGTGGCTTTACGGCGCTTTAGTCACGGGCTGAAGTTAGCAACAGGTTTTTAGTCACGGGCTGAAGTTAGTTTTCTTGTAAAATAATACTAAATGTGAAAATTATTTTATTATCTCAATACAAAAGTATTAAATAGTTTCTCAACGCCAATATTTGAAAAGTTTATATGAACATTGTACTGACCTTTTAATTTCGCCGGCAGTAAACTATAACTTAAATTCGGGCACGGACTCTACTGTAAAGTCCTCATAAAACATTTCCTTTACTTTCACTGCGAAAAACTGTTAATTTTCAAGATACATTTCGATTTTATAACCTTTATAATTGTGTTTATAAAATGTAAAAATGTGACATTTGACAGTTTCCCCTTTTGTTTCATAGATGGCGCTCTATACAAATTTTTGATTTAAATCATAATAATAATAAGTATTTGTCGTAGAAAAAGTATAGTATGCACCTCGTTTATAAACTTTTCTATACACTCATTAACTTAAGCACTCGCTCGCAAGCTCTCTCGTGCCTAAATTAAATTCGTGTATAAAATGGCGTTTATCAAACTTGATACATAATATACTATATTTGACGAATGACCAAATGGCTTACTACGGCCCTGCTTGCACACAAATTACAAATGCGTGCAGTATCAGTGCCACTGCACTGTCCAGACTATCACAATGAGGTGGTGAACGGCGTGTAATGGGGGATGGTAGCAAAGCAGAGAATCATCCCTACGCGATTCCCACGATGGGTCCCCATTTATATTTTAAATCAGACCTTACATAATCCGGCCATTCAGACCGATTTTTTACGAAATGCTGCTCTGCTGGTGCGATTAGCGTCCAAGGCTAAATGATGTCAAGGGTGCCAACCGAACAGTTTCCAGATCAACACAACACATATTGACTTTTAATCTGTGGAAGATTAGGAAGTAGTTTTAATACTTATTTAGAATTTATGGGAAGATGTTTTATAATAAGCACTTAAGACCCAATTAGCACAGCCCCTGTATAATATTTTTACAAAATAAATCTCAAGTTTGAAATTATTTTTGCTTACCTATACATCTTATACTCGCTCTATAAGCTTAGAAGGAAGAACAGTTGTTGCATCTATTTTATGAAGAAAAGTTTAAATTAATTATAAGTTTGAACTCTTTAGACACAATAATTATATAAAATAATTTTTGCTTCTTTACAGGTAACCAGTATAGTTTTGTTATCATGAGCAGTAATCAAATTCTTATAAAACATAATGCTTCGAACTGATTATGTAAATGAATTCGCTTAGAGCTTTAATTAAAAGTTGGAACATTTTAATTTACATTAGGTAATATGTGCTTAATTAAAAGCTTCTATTTCTCCATATACATTACATTTTATTACCTACATGGATTGTTAAATTAAAATTGTTAATTTGTACTTGTCGTTTTTTTAATATGAAAATATGTTGCAGGGTTTATTTCCCAGTTTAATAAACATTTTAATTAGCGTTATTGTAATTTGCATTTTAGTTAAGAAAAATGTATTCAGGTCGTTGCACAACAAGTGAATTTGGTAGAAAAGATTTTTTGGTGGAAAAGATTTTTTTTTTAATTTTTGGAATTTGTAATATGGGTGAATCTCACGAAATGTCCCCCGATGGTGTTACCCCGTGATATTTAATAAAACTAAATGAGTTTGACCGCAATTAATTATTTTTTACAATGTTTTAAAAGTCTAAAACCTATCCTCCGTGACTGTTACTCTTTCAAATATATATAAGTAGTAAAAGCATACTAAAATTATCAGTTCACTAAGTAAATTAAACACATCCAAAGCAATCGAATCAAATATAAAATATTATTAAAAATTAAAAGAAATAATTTGTATAACCATTTATGTAGGTGTTACAAAAATTGATTCTATCCTCCGTGAATCTGTTTTTGCTTTAAATTTTATGCAACGGGTGGCGCTTTAATCGTTTTAAATAAGCAAAAACCTCTGTTTACGACATTATAGATGCATGGGTTTCCTGAAGGTCAGTTAGAATTTATATGCAAATGAGAGTGTTGCTGTTTTATAATTCAAAAGTTTAAATTCATTAATTTGCTATTTAAAAACCTATCCACCGTGAAGTGTAATATCTCAGTAAGTAGATTTTTTAATAAATATTTTATTGTATTTTGAAAAAATACTAAGGTGTCAAAAGATACAATAACTTATTTCAAATATACAAAGGGATGTTTTAAAGAAACATACGAAATCCTAACCTCCGTGAAGCTATCTTCCGTGAAGCTCTAATATTCAAAATGTATGATTTCTTAAAATTCTTGCATTAGTGCAAACCCACTTATGTTATGTTATTACTAGACCTGGTGGCTTCTCAAAAACCCCATTCTAGACTAACAGTATTATACACATTTTTTCAACGTTAATGTCGCCTTTTTCAAGTTATTGGCAAGGTTTACAAATTTTGATTGTATATTTTAATCAAAACAATATATAGGTACTCATACCTTTATCAATTAAAACTTTTATTACTAAAACTAGATACAATTTACTGCAAAACCCCTCTGGAAAATATATTCCACAAACATTGATTAAGGTTTCATCGTGAGATTGAGGAATGTCATAACCTGTTTTGGCTCCTTATTAAATAATGCTTAATCTTATGTAGCACATGTATGTAAGATAATTGGTTCTGGTATTTTGCAAATTTGGATTTTGTTATTTTACTATATTTACGTCTTTCGTAAAAAGGATTTTTCGAGAAGAATATTGATAACCATAACATGAGATTTTCCTAAGACCATTTGACAGATTTTGATGCTTTCGACAATACACAATAAACACGTAATAAATTATCTTTTTAGAATTATTTCTGGGTTTTTATCCCAATTGGAGATGACCTTCCATATACACCCAGGACTATAATTCCCTATAATGTCCTTACCCCACCTGCACTTTATTTCGTAAACGTTGCCCACCAAGGTTGGTATCATTGATTCTTCAACGCACAGATGTAACCCAGATCTTGTATGTATAATATAGCCACGAGATTTTAGGTCTGTCGTCCGCAAGTCCATATATTTGTACTTATCGTTCCAGTAGTAAAACTGGAACTTGCAATAGCTGTCTGGAGTGTCTGTAAGCCGTACCTCGGGAATAGCGGACAAGGAATGGGCCCTGGGGGTTTCGTATTTCAAATACAAATCCTTGCTGGACAACTTGATGAAGAAATCCTCCCCATAGCATATTTTATTTTGCGATTGGTCCAATTTTTCGCACGGGTGCACGAATTGAAAGGTGTTGCATCTGGTCGGGTTCCCGTTTGTGCTTGCTACAGTTAAACAGTTATCCTGGAAATCCGTACCTTTCATTATTTGGACTTCATCCAGTGAAACCGTCAAAAATAATAAGGTTTTTGGTATCAAGTATTTATTTCGTAGCTGGTAATTCTGACCGACAAATATTTGGGTAGTGGCTGATAGTTCTACAGGGGTATACACATTCCGAAGCATTTCTTGGTGACGCTCAAACAACCTGGGCTCCTCTATAACTGAGACGTTATTCTCATGGTACCAATCCCCTATTATTTCAGATTTTTTTGCCATTCTATCATCGAGAAATTAACATAATATTATCTGTACATTGTTTAAATGACGTCTAAAGGTTTAATATGTATTTTGACAGAATTACATTGTTTTCATAATAATAGTAATAATAATAATAATAATACCTATATGTTATTAGTGTCAAATAAACAAAACACTACAGCCACAGACACTTATTCATCGCGGTCAGATCGCATCTCTCCTAAACACACTGTGAGAATTCTTGTAGGTTAAAATTTTCATAAGCAAATATATAGTACTAGGATTTTTTTAAATATTTAATTTAACAAACGAAGATATATTATAGTGAAATAAAGATAGTTGTAATTAAGAAATATTTTGTTTAGAAAACTTTTAGATAAATCTTAGTTATAACCCACAAATTAACCTTCAAATTGACATTTGACAGCTCTGATAGAATAAGGTTTATTTTTTTTACAAAAGAGGAGTAAATGATTGTTCTTACCACTTTGAGGTCTCTTTTAAGGCTTGCAAGTCTCTCTGTAAGAAACACAACGTTTAAAACGATTATTAATCTATACAAACCCGAAGCACAAGAATTGTAAACAACAAAAATGGCCGCCATTGAATGATGTGCAGTGTTGCAGTGATTTTTAGTATTTTTACTACGAGATCGAACCGACCTTGTTGTGTGGATTGTGTCTCAAATTATATTTAATTGATCGAACAACCCCAATTTTACGATGTTTGCTTTCGACAATTTATTCTGGGATTTTTTTTATAATCCCTGCTATTATAAATAATAATTGCCCTTCATGCATAATTTTACAAATCTGTAAAGCAAACATTGTTTGGCAAACATTCATGGGGAATGGTAATTGATACTGGATGCGTTTATTGCATGTGGGAAAGTAAGTTTACACAGTAAAAATATTTGTTAATTTTTTGAATTTTTTGGATTGAAAATAAAAAAATCATATCTTCTCCAGAAGTTTTACTTCAATAGTGTATATACACGTTTTTCTTTATCTATTAGAGATAACTTTCCATATACACCCAGGACTATAATTCCCTACAATATCTTTACCCCACCTGCACTTTATTTCGTACACGTCACCCATCAACGTCGGTATCTGTGATTCTTCGGCGCACAGATGCAATCCAGATTTTGTGTGTATAATATAAACCCGAGATTGTAAGTCGGTCGTGCGTAAGTCCATATATTTGTATTTGTCATTCCAGTAGAAAAATTTGAACCTGCAATAACTGTCTGGAGAGTCTGTAAGCCGTATCTCGGGGTATTCTGTCAAGGAGTGCGGTCGGGAGTTTTCGTACTTCAAATACAAATCCTTGCTGGCCAACTTGATGTAGAAATCCTCTTCGTAGCATATTTTGTTTTGAGAGGTGTTCAATTTTGCGCAAGGGCTTACGAATTGAAAGGTGTTGCTTCTGGTTGGTTTGCCGTTAGTGCTGGCTACTGCCAAGCATTTATCCTGAAAATCTGCACCTTTCATTATTTGTACTTCATCCAGTGAAGCCGTTAAGAATAACAAGGTGTTTGGTATAAGGTATTTATTCCTCAACTGGTAAGTTTGACCGATAAAAATTTCCGTTTGGTATGATAGTTCTACAGGGGCATTAACATTTCGAAGCATTTCTTGGTGACACCGAAGTAACATAGGCACCTCTTCAACTGGGACTTTTTTCTCGTGGTACCAACCCCCTATTACTTCAGATTTTTTTGCCATTATATCATCGAGAAATTAACAAATACATTTAAATGACATCCAAAGGTTTTTATTTGTATTTTGACAGCGCGTTTAAATGTTCATGAATGAATTTCATCACCTAGATATCTAGGTTTCACCTCTTTTCGAAAAACCACCCATTTAAGTAATTTACGGGTCGTTTTCAAAAAACACCCGCCTTCGGCTGTCCGTAAGTTTGAATTCCAATAACTTTGTTAAAAATTATCGGATCTTATTGATTTAAAAACCAAGTGAAAGCCTAACAAGCCCTTAGTAAACTCTTTCAGAAAATGTTTGTTTAGTTATTTCAGAATAATTTTTTTTTATTTTGAAACTTGTGAAACACACATTTTCGCATGTCCCATTAGCGTTTTATAAAACTTACATACATGTTTTTTTTTAATATTGAATAACCAGAACTTTGTGTTGCTTTATAGCAATCCATAACATCCTTAGTTAATAAAGTAAACATATATAAATTAATTAATTTTAATCTACTTTTTTTAAATTTGACTCATGTCCCAGACATTTTTTCCGTTGCGTTACGTCCGTCGCGTTACAGATAGAATATTTAAAAAAACATATATATGGCAACTTTTTTGCACTCACGTGATTAACAAATGATGTTCGGACGTACACATTACCCAGCTGAATTTATTTATTCAATCAGGAAGAAGATATCGGTTGAAACAGGTGCGGGTAACGCGAATGTAATAATTGTTTGTCCGCTTAGTTACTCAAAAAAATAATAGAAATAAGGTAAGAAAAAATACTATTTTTCATGTTTATGTTTATTTTAGGGCACTAAAGCTCATTGAGAGTAATTATTGACTGTAATGTTTTATTATTATTTTTTAAATATGGTTTCACAAAACTTTGTCTGCTGCGTTACCGAGTCCATTACATTACCTTATGGTAACGCAATGGAATTTAGGGTAACGCAATAGAATTTTTCGACAACAAAGTGGATATTTACCGTCGCTTTTATTAAAATTAGTTTATGATAAACCAATTTAAAATTATTTGTGATTACAACATATAGATTACATCCACGGGAAAATTCCACGCAATATACAAGTACTAAAAGACACCAGCTTATAGTCAAAGAAAAAGGGTATCTATAATTTAGAAATCTAAGTTGTTATTCTGCAAGTGAGCACCACTATAGTGTACAAGGGATTTTGTTTATGCATTACTCTAAAATCGTACCACCCTATATAGTTTGAAACTATTAGTTTCTTTTTTACGTTATCTGATTTGTGTACCCGTCCGTTGTGATACCAATGTCTATTTCGTTACTTTTTTTAGTTTTTGTTAAAAAAATCCTTAAAATGATTTTACTATCACTTGGTAATACCTGTTTATAAATTAGAGTTTAACTAATACAGTTACTAAAAGAAAATATTAATGGTATTGTTTTTTTAACAAAGAATCGGGATGGTGTCCTTTAAAAAGTAACTTAACTAACCTAAATATTTAAAAAAGGCATACAATTTTTAATAAAAAATAAAATTGGAGTCAAAAGTTTGTGAACTAAGTACATTTTATTTCAAACTATTTTTATAACAACTTTTTTTATTGAATTAAATTTTGGATTTCAAATTGGTAACACAGTGGAGACATATAAAGCTAGCTAAACACATTTTTCTAAAAAAAAACGTAAAAAAAATTAAAAAGTGCACTGCCTGTCTTAAATGTAAGTAAACAAGTAAAAATCCAACCAAAAGTCAATTTAAGCAAAAAAAATTTTGATCTTCATTTTCCTGAAAGCGGTGTTTTCTTGAAAATGACCCATACACAGTGTCACATAATACATTGTCATCCTTTTTGATTGAACATTTTTTTTGGTAAATTCTGATACTGCAATTCTTTTAAGATTTTCATCACAAGTTCTGAGAAACAAAACAAATTTTATCTGTTTCGTTGGTTTTATAAATGCTTTTCTTAGTCCACAGATTATAAAAGTCTTTAAAAGTCTTAATTTAACTTCGTTATTTGTTACAGCCAGAAACATAAAATTAGATTTGTGGCAAATTGTAACAAAATTAGACTTTATTTTGTTTAAACCAAATTGTGGAGTATAATTCATTTACTTCAAATGCGGCAATATAAAAAAGAATCTTAATATTTTTTGGAAATTCGTTTAAATACATTTTCCTTGTTTTTCGAATACAAAAAAACTTTTAATTAAAACCGTATCTGATGTAAACTACCAACTAAATGAATCAATTATGGAAAAAAAGGAAACTGTTTTAAATTCTTGACATCTAATTTATTGATAAAACAATGGCGATGCTAAGAGTCAGCTGTCATTAGTTTGAAAAAGATAACAGGATTTTTTTTAATTGATTTTTGTTTAACGTAATGTAATTACGTATTTGATTATTTCGGCGTTGTCGAGTTTGGTAAACCACATAGTTATTGGACACTTAAGGAATATTATTTATTTAAAATTTTATTTACATATGCCGTGGTTTTTTTCTTATAAATATATAAAAAGGATAGTTTGTTTGTTTACACTTTATTTACGTTTACTTAAAAATAAGAATATTTAAATTTTAAGTTTTATAAAAACATGCAAAAAACTATAGTAATATTACTTAATACTACTACTTAATATTATCCAATATTGGATATAAAATTTTTATATAAAAATAACAACTTTACATCAAATAAAATAAATTGTTAAATATTTTTTAAAGATAAACTGCTGTTTTAGGTAAATTTTTTTATTTCGTTTTTTTAAATATCATATAATTTATATATTTCTTTCTCGGACTCCTCATCCCTTTTCTGGATTCTGAAGGTAACTACTAATTCCTTGGTCTGACTTCTGAAATGGTTTGTTGCAAATATCATTAAGTGTGGTATCTCTAGTTTGTGAAGCATGTATAATGTTTAGGCCGGAACAGGATGATATATAATATTTTTTCGGGTGGTATGTTAAAAGTATTTTCCGAATTTATTAATTTTGTTGCCATTAATTTTTTATGTTCTCTATCAAGCACTGTATTTAAATCACTGTTATTCTGCAAGATGTCCTGTGACGAAAAAATCACTAATTACTTACTCTCTAAAAATGAATTAGTCAAAAATGTCATAGCAAAAAAGCGGCCACTAGTAATTCTCGTCAACAGCAATTTGTAGCCAGGACATTTAGCAATCAATTCCTTTAAAATATTATTCGCTGAATCCGAAAATGTCGTCAAAAGTTATAAAAGTAGAACAGTTTTTGAAATATGATCAATTTTACTTATAATATGGAATTGACTATATCTCAAAACTGCTTAACTTTTATAGTTTTTGAGGGTCTTTTCGGATTCTGGGGACAATTTTACATAAGAATTGGCTGGTAAATGTCCGGGATACAAATAGAGTTTGATATTGGACATATGTCCAATAAAAGAAGTTTACATTTTTTACCAACAAGTAATTGGACACTGGCCATTTGACTGTTTGTTTTCAGAATTAAAATTAAAACGCATTAAAGTGACAATGTTTAAACCATGAGGAACACATTTATACCACACACTGATCTGTACACTTTTTAGAAATATTTTTTATTGTAATTTAAACACAGCCCTGCTCTTAACAAAAAAACAAAAATCTTGCCACCAAAGTAACGTGCGAACTTTTTTGTCCTATGTTGGACCCAAAATAAAGTAGTTCTATCATTGAGTTAGAACCATTACCGACTGAGATATTTATAATTGTATACAGCGTCATCTAATGATTTTACTTTAAGGTAACTTTTTATAGAACTCTTGTTTTTGCGGTATTAACCCGTAACCAGTACTGTGGTGTCTGGGAGACACTCATCAACGAACAAAGCGCTGTCACACCCTCACCTTTTGTTTTAAAAATCTGTCGCTTCCAATACTTTTAAGTTAGGCAGTTATCAATATGCTCTTAGACTTTGAACAGGTTGGATTGTCAAACGGACAAATTATTAGGAGTCAAAGTGTTGAGGTGTCTATTAGACCACTGCGTACCGTTTACGTTATTTTTATAAAACAATTAATTCGTTATGGATTCGCAACAAGGGCCTTCTAAACGTGTCCAAAGTGATAAGAAGGGCTTCAAGGAAACTGTACTATAGTGGTTTTATGAAATCGACAGCGATATAAGTGCATAAGCATCTATAGATGACTGTAGTATACTACATAACCATTATAGTGATTATATCGTTGAAGATAATCACAGCAGCGATTCAGGACTTGTCTGTGAAGATTCTATAGAAAATAATTTTATAGGGTCATATAGTAAAGAATTTGAAATTTTTTAAGAATTTGAAAAAAAAAGAAAAAAGTTACTATGGAAAAAATATTTAAGTGTAAAAATTAGCTATAGTTTGAAGAAGTTATTTTTGCTGTTAAAAAAAGATATATTAGAATTTTTTTTGTTTATATTATTTTTTAAGGTATATTCTTCGAAATAAAGATCGTTTTATTTTGTTTGGTTTAATATTTTTTATAGTTTAATCACAAAGTTTGCACTACTGCACTTTTTGTACAAGTTTTGATTAAAACCTATTTGTTTAAATTTTTCTTTTATTTAGGTATTATTTTTGGTGATATTCTAACTTTATATATAGTCCCTAGTATCCCCAAAACCTTAGATAAAAAAAATAATATAAATAACAATTTTAAAAGGTAGGTGTCTCTCAGACCCCTTAGTACCGTTTATGTCCTGAAAATCGAACCGTACCGGTTACAGGTTAATGTTAATTGTCCAATAACTATAAAGTGTCCGATAACTGTCTACTTTACTAGTATCAAAACTTAAATTAACAACTTTAGGTACTTTGTGCGAGTCTAAACATTCCCATGTTGCGTGTGGGATTTGCCGTCTCCCCCCTATTTACAAATTTTCCAGTTGCAGTGGCTTACTTAAGGGACGGATGTCCTCGTGTATAAGCCCGAAAAATATTGCGCCACGTGATCTGTCGCTATCAGTGGCCGCAGCAGCCACGTGGCACGTATCTTCGGCAGGATCTGCAC